GCTCTACCATATAACTTTCACTTTTAAAATATGCATTCATTTGATAACTTTTGAAAAACCATTACTCAATCTTGCCCTAAGAGAATTTGAAATTTAATCATCACCTAATACCATGCAAATTAATTACTATATTCTCACATAGTATATATTATGTCTGATAATAGAATTATGAAGAAAGTAGTATGGGAATTCAGAGAAAGGACACATTAAATTCATTAAATATGTGAACAGAAGGAAATCTTAGAATTTCAAATTAGCAATAAATAAAAGCCAAAGGAAATTTGGGTATTCTAAAATAGCAATGATTTGCTAAGGAAATTGTGAAGGAAAACTGGGTATAATTAATGGTATAATATGTGGTAAATAACCTTAAGCAGCATTTCAGTGCACCATAAAATTAGTTATGCTCTGAGTAGAATCATACCCTTTTATAATTACAATGATTTATAGAATGTATATCTCTGTACCACATGGAAAACTGATAAAATGGGTGTTATCTACAATGCTGAAAGGTAACATTATGATACACTTTTGCTATATTAGGATTTTAATTTAGCTATATGCTTTATATTAAACATTATTTTCTTTTTATTGGAACTTTTCATTTTTATATTTCATTAGTTCTTCAAGCAGCTTTCAAAAGTTATTAATAAAAATCCTTGCTGTCAATGAGAAAAATCTATTCAATTTGGTAAGAAAATCGCATCTGTAACTTCAATAAAGTATCCAAGAATATAGAACCTTAGAAGTGTTTATTTTTTATTGGCTGCCTTAGGACTACAAGGATTTAAGTGTTTTTATAAAAACAATAAAAGAAGAGTAATTTGATGGCTTATTTACTCTTTATAACCTTTAGAAAGTGTCATGCTTTTTTTAAAATGCTTGCTTCAGGCTGTAGTTTTACAAGATGTGCTGTGTATTGGTCAGGCCTCTTCAGTTCTTGACCCTGAACAGATTTAGGGACATAGTACATACAGCAAGCACATGTCCAAGCAGCCAAAACTGTGACTGGGTACTTTTATTCTCCTTTTCAAACTCATAATCCACCTCCTACGAAATTGCCCAATTCAGTTTCTCATGTTGTCTAATAAAATACTAATCATTCTTTCAGATAGTTTCTTAGTTTGATTAGCTACAAAGTATTCAAGATAAATATCACTAATATGCATGGAATAGCCTAAAAGTTCATATTTTAAAGAACCTCTTTCCTCATTAGTATTTAAGTTACTGTTTTCATATTGTTCAACTTAGTCTATTACGAAGATTTCTGAAATAGAAAAATATTCTAAGAACATTTGTAGGAATTCTTAATGCTTTTGTTTTTCTATTCAACAAATATTTCTAATTGTTATTTTGAAATGTTCTACCGAATATCAGAATGTACTTGTATATTTAAACTAAGTAATATGATTTTGAATGTCTTTCTATCTTCTGTGGTTTATGAAGATTAGATTCTGAGGTTTTTGAAGGAAAGGAGTGTATCATAACAATCCATATTGTCCCACAGCACTCACAATTTCTTACAGGTAATAAAATGGCATGTTTAAGAGGCTCTGGAGACAGATCATCTAAGTTCAAATACCAGCTCTGCTGTTTTGCTGCTATGCGCATTTAGGGGAGTTACTTATTCTCTTGCTAACCTAGTTTCCTCATCTATAAAATGGTGATAATAAGAGTACTTACCTCGAAAAATTATACCTATGATTAAATTAATACATAAAAAGTGCTTAGAACAATATCTAAATCACAGTAAGATCTCAGAACCCATTTAAAAGAGAAGTGTATAGCCAGGCCCACATGAAGAAAGCAGTATCTTGCACATTTTCAATCCAACTTCTTTGGGATTTGATAAGATGCATACATCTTATCAAGATATAAAATGTTTCTGTCTACCCAGGCCAGTTCTACCCCTACTTCCTCCCCAAGAGGCAACCACTCTTTTGATTATTTTCCACTGTCAATTGGTTTTATTTTTTCTGACACTTCATATAAATGGAATCATACATATGTACTCTTTTAGGTAAGGCTTCTTTCACTCAGCATGATGTTTTAAATTCATCCATATTGTGTCTATCAGCATACAGATCCATGTTTGTTAAGTGTACACTTACGTATTTCATTTTTTCTGGAGTGATTATAAATTATGTTGTATTTTTAATTTTGTTTTCAATAGTGTATAGAAACATGATATTTTGGGTGTTGATCTTTATCCTGAGACCCTGTTGAACTCAGTTATTAATTCTGGGAGATTTTTTTATAGATTCCTTGGGGTTTTCCATGTATACAATCATGTCATGTACAAATAGAGACAGTTTACTTCTGTCTGATTTGTTTCCTTTTTTTCTCTCCTCTCTTTCTCTCTCTTTCCTTTTTTCCCTTTCCTTGTCTATCCATCCATCCAGTCTTTTATCATTAAATATGATGTTAAGTATAGTGTTTATGAATGCTGTTTATGAAATTGAGATAATTCTCTCTATTCCAAACTGGCTGAGAGTTTTTATTATAAATGAGTGTTGGGTTTTGTCAGTTGTCTTTTCTGTCAATTGTTATGGTCATGTGACTTTTCTTCTTTAGCATGTTGATATGATGAGATATATCAACTTAATATTGTTGAATCAGCCTAATATATCTGGAATAAATTCTACTTGGTGATGGTGTATACATTGTTGGATTCCATTAGCTAATATGTTGTTGAGGATTTTTCCATCAAAATTTGTGAGAGGTATTCGTTTTAGTTTTCTTTTTTTGTACTGTCTTTGTCTAGTTTTGCTGTCACAGTACATAGGCCTTATAAAATGAGTTGGGATGTGCTTCCTTCCTCTTTTATTTTTCTGGAAGAAACTGTAAAAATGGTGTTAATTCTTCATATGTTTGGTAGAATTCTCTAAAGATGAAACCGTGTGGGCCTGGACATGTATTTTCTTGGGAGCTTTTTAACTAGTGTTTATAGGGCTATTTAGATTATCTATATCACCTTGGATCAGGTCTGGTAGTTTGGGATTTTGAAGAATTGGTCCATTTCTGTAAGTTGTCAAATTTATGAGCATAAACTTGTTTGTAGCTTTCCCTTACTAACTTTTTTTTTTTTTTTTTAAAGATTTTATTTATTTTTCAGAGAGCCAGCGAGAGAGAAACAGCATGAGAGGGGAGAGGGTCAGAGGGAGAAGCAGGCTCCCCGCTGAGCCGGGAGCCCGATGTGGGACTCGATCCCAGGACCCCGGGATCATGACCTGAGCCGAAGGCAGACGCTTAACCATCTGAGCCACCCAGGCGCCCCCCTTACTAACTTTTTAATGGTTGCAGAATCTGTACATGGTTTCTTTCAGCTCTTAGAGCATATTTAAATTGTTGATGTAAAGTCTTTGTCTAGTAAGTCCATTGTCTGTACTTGCTCGGAGACAGTTCTTTTTAACTTTTTTTTTTTTTTTGCCTGTGTATGGATCACACTTTCTTGTTTCTTTGTATGTTTTGTATTTTTTGTTGAGAACTGGACATGGACATTTTGAATATGTGGCTACTCTGGAAATCAGATAATTTTCCTTACCAGGGTTGCTGTTTGTTGTCATTGTTTGTTTAGTGGCTTTTCTGAAAAAATTTTGTGAAGTCTGCTGTTTCTGTCATGTGTGGCCACTGAAGTCATTGTGCTCTTAATTTAATGATCAGCTAGTGCTTTGTTTGGCAGAGATTTCCTTAAATACCTGGAGCCAAAACAACAACAACAAAAAACTCCCAGGTTTTGTAGAAGGGCTCTCTCTATGTGTGTTGGGGCATACCTTCAACACTGTATACAGGCACTTTTCAAGTCTACCTGTTGAATTTTTCAACAGAAGAATCAAATTTCTTTAGTGATACCTTATGTTTATGGTATAGGCTAATTCAGGAGTGTTACATGATTTTAAACATAATCAGGATATTTCTAAGTAACTGCTTCCTGCTTGGCTTTGGGCCTTCTTCCTTGACTTTGGGACTTTTGTGCTGCCTCCCAGAGAGAGTCTGTCTTTGCAGCCCTCCCAGCTGATCTCCCTGTTCTTTTTATTTGATGCTTCTTTGTCAGGTCGTGGCTGCAGGTGGGGGAATACGGGCATTGTCTGACTTTATTAAGCTTCAGTTCTTAGGTGAAATTGGGTCTCAGGGTGAGGTCTTCACAAGAGTTCTGATCCTTCTTTTGTTCTTAATGCTGGGCCTACTGTATTCCTATATTCTTGCTGTTTTTCTGCTCCTCCTGCCATGATAGAGCTGTTATTTTATTATCCTAGCCTGCTTCTAGCTGCAGTGGCTTTTCACTGGAGCTCTCATGCTGTCATTTTGATTGCCCCTCCCCCTGCAGATTAGGCTCTTGTTCCTTAGGGGAGATGAGGAAGACTGGTCTGTCTAGGTGGAGTTTTCAGTGGTGGACCTTGGTCCCCTTTTCCAGCTGTAGAGGGTTTCCACTAGTGTTCTTAAGTATAGTTTTTGTTGCCCTTTCCCTTACAGATTAAGATTCTTGGTCTGTAGGAGAAATAGGGAAGATGGGTTGTGACTACTCTTCTCTTCCCCAGCCAGTACCACAGGGGAGAGCTTCTCAGATTGTTGGATTCTTCCCATCTTTCCCTCGAAGCACTTGGTGGGCTTCCTGGAGGAATAACCTTGTAAAATATATAAAACCTCCTTATTTCTGGGGCCCCTGGGAATTCACATTCTTACACTAGGCCATGTTCTGCCTTTACCAATTTATTAAGAACTTTCAGCTGAGTTTTCTTATTAGCACTCAGTGGTTTATGTCCCAGGTAAGCAAATGCTGTGGTTCTCTTCTTCCTGCTGGAGAGAGTTATCTAGAGTTTTGGTTAATTGAATCATCTGGGACCTCAGTTCTTTGATGGGTTTGTCTATCTAATTTGCAATTTGTCCAGATTTTTTACTTGTTGTAAGCATGAGAGGATGCTCTTTTTATCTTTCTACAAAGAGCTGAAATGTAAAATTTTAAAGTCCTAATTTTCTTAGCATTTTTCTTTTTTATTTAGGAAGCAGAAACTCAATATGAAGAGCAGATTGGTAAAATTATTGTGGAGACACAAGAACTTAAATGGCAAAAGGTGAGTTTTTGTTGTTGTTGTTTTGTTTTGTTTTTTTAAGATTTACCCCAGAGAGAGTGAGCACGCACGTGAGTGGTGGGGCAGGGGTAGAGGGGAGAGAAACTCAAGCAGACTCCTCTGAGCATGGAGCTGATGTGGGGCTCAGTCTCACCATCCTGAGATCATGACCTAAGCTGAAATCAAGAGTTGGATGCTTAATGAACTGAGCTACCCAGGTACCCCAAAAGTGAGTATTTTAAATTTTTATTTCAGATTAGTCTTTTTAGCCTCTACTGAAAGAGCTATTCTAATCCTTAATTGCAGTTGGAATTTTTAAATTTCCTAAACATATTTGGAGATTGTGCATCATTTTAAACAAAGTCTCAAGAGAATTCTGACTAAAATTGTTTTTAATAACATCTGGGCCTCCAGAACACTGAGAATGAAATTTTTTTCCAGGCTTTCTGATAATAATGCTGAAAACTACTATGATCTATTTAATGTCTGAGAAACACATTGTGTATTATAAGAGAGTCAAAATATTTTTTAAGAAGTGAAACCTCTTCATTTTCCCAGGCTGTTATTACATACTGTAAGCAAATATTTAAAAAAACCCGGTGTCAGAGGGACACATGGTTGGTTTTGTCGGTAGAGCATGTGACTCTTGATCCCAGGGTCATGGTTCAAGCCCCATGTTGTGTGTGGACCCTGCTTAAAACAGAAACAAAAACAAAAAACAACCGCCAGTATCATCAGATCTGATTCTCTCTCTAGACTTACTTATACGGAAGCCCTTTTGATAGTGCTTCTCATGCCTCTCCACCAAAGTAATCTTAATAGCTAAAAATTGAAATCTTAATTATGGCCCCCTTCTTTTCACTCTTTGGCAATATTGAAATAGGAAGTTGGAGGTAACATATCAGAATCAGAATTCAAGTGACAGAGGATAGCTCAAACTAGAAGTGATGGGAATTTTGAGACCAGACAGGCCCACAAGGTTGTGTAGAATATGGGAGTAAAACTAGAGTTGGGTTTTATGAGGTCCAAGGTATCGAACCTCTCTGCAGAAAGAAAAAACAGATAAACACTAAGTATAAACTGAAACTCCACGCAGATTTCAAAATGTAAAGTCCTATCTTATTTTTGGATAGAGAGAGTCAACAGTATAAAGTTATCCAAATCCTTAAGTTAATCAGTATGTTTAATACAATCCAATACCAGGAGTGTGTTTGCTGTTCTTAAGCTGTTCTAAGGTTTATGTGGAAATAAACGTACAAGAGTGTCTGGGAAATTTTTGAAAAAGCACAGGACGAAATAATCACACTAGATTCTTAAATATATTATTATAAACTGTAGTAATTAAGGTAGCTTGGTGTAGCATACATGGATAGGTATTCCTCCGAAGGTAATAGAGTCTAGAAGTAGATTCAGATCATAAGATAAATTAGTGAATGATAAAGGTGGCATTTTTTATTCTGACAAAATTCTAAACTTTCTTTGGAATTTTCATGTCCTTTTTGAGCTAAAGCAGTAAGCAGTTAAATGGAGTCAGTGTTAGAGCTCTCCTCATCTTTAGAACAACAAAGACTTGCCCATGTATTGTAGAAGAGTGGAGTTACAGAGAAATTTAAGTTCCTTAAGGTTCCTCAGTAAACCCCTGAGGCATAGCTATCCAGGTAAATTGTTGACTTTCCCAGGACAAAACAAACAGGTCACACTATCTTGATCTAAAGGAACACTATAGAAAGCAGAACGTATATTTACAGTGGTAAAATATGTAGAGTCAGATAGCACTGAAGGTAAAATAGTATTTGGGCTCAGTACTACAAAGAATTGGGGCCACGGTTATTTTATTTATTTTTCTTGAACAGATCTTTATCTTCACCCATTGGGTTTCTTGACTGGGAAACAACAGTGTTCAAAGACTGGTATAAAATGTGATTGATCCTTTCTCTATTAGGCTTTTAGACTATTGGCTTTAATTCTTAACTTCTGGTTTTAGAGATTATGTAAAGTTAAGTAGAGGTTTGCTGCTGATATCAGTACGACATTTTGCCCACAAAGAGTACCACTTCAAAGAAGTCTTAATTTGGTTTGATCATACACAGAGGTATCAGGAAGTCAGTATCTGATTGATTAGCTGTGATCTGATTACAATAGAAAAATCCTCAGGGATCTAAAAAAAAAAAAATCAGGGAAGAATTTAATTTTGCAGTTCTGTTTACATAGTAGATTCCTTTCTCTTATGCTAATGGGTGTGGTGTCAAAAAGGAGAAAATAATATGTCTCACTTGAGGATCCAGGGATAACAGTTGGAAACTGAAACAGTGGGGAGTATCTCTGGATTATTAGAGATATTCACTATCTGAGTAGCTCATGGACTCTGAGGAAGAGGTTATGTGATGATGGCAGGATTAATGGTATGACTAAAAAAATTTGCAAAGTTTCTTTTAATATTTAGAGAAATTTCTTTTTGCAAGTTTGAGGATAAAATGGGAAGTTGGGTGCATGATTTGCCTTCAGAGCAGTATCATTGATTTGCCCACTTGATGTTTTTCACCTTCATTTTCTTAGCTAGTTCAGGAAGGTTTTTCCCCAGTGCCCTTTCTGTTTATAATAAGTATCTACAAGTGCCTTTACCAAGAGGCTCACTCCTTCAGTGCTTGATGACTGGAGTGGGAACATTAAGTTGTTTTATCTGTAAGGCCTCCAGTTTATTCTGCTTTTGTCAAAGGCTTTTTGAATCTGGATTTGAGATCTAGTAATGGGGCCATTTCCCATTCCAGTTTTTGTTGCATATTAAATCTCCTATTTCCAGGTTTAAGGCTGGTCACAAAAAGTAAGGAGAAGCTAGAGGTCACATTTACTTGAGAATGTACTCCTCAGAGAACCTATCCCCTGAGGTCCTCAATAAATTCTTTCCTTGTTTGCAGGAGTGGATTAGAATCTAATCTATTTTCATGGAAAACTGGATAATAGCCTCTGAAAGATATTGTCCAACATCTACACCTTTTCTAAATCTGTCTGGTTTCTTGTGCATTTTGTGATTCCCTGTCATTCTTGGGGTCTCCTCACTTTGCTTTTTCCATTCTTCTTCTTCTTTTTTTTTTTCATTTGAGAGTATGAACCATTGGTACAGATCTGGGAACTGGTAGTACTATTTTTTAAAATTAGCTGTAAGAATTGAAATATTTTTTAAAGTTTATTTTATTTATTTTTTTTTAGTAATCTCTATGCCCAGAACAGGGCTCAAACTCATGCCCAGAGACCAAGAATCATATGCTCTTCAGACTGAGCCAGCCAGGCGCCCCAAGAAGTAAAATATTTTAAAGTAATTGCTAACTTCAGAAAAAACAAAAAGCTCTGTTAGATAGAATTGTAATTATGGTATATTATATGGCTGAGCCTTGAGTAAAAATTGCATAGTCATGATAGTACAAATACTGAAGATTGATTTAAGTCACAGTTTTTATGTAACTCTGTTGGAAGAATAGAGGGAGCAGATGTTAGGTAATGGTTGTACAAGAAAGCCAAACTCCCAACTATCATAATAGAAATCAGATAAAATTTTTAAGTTGGTAAATCAACATATATTTAGAAACACGGAGTCAAATAACAAACACTCGAAGATCTAATTTTTTTTTTAAGTGTGAGAATTATTCACTAAACATAGAAAAAAAGTTTGAAGTCATCTTGAATCTGAAGAACAGAACACACAACTTCTATCAAAAGTGGGGGAGAGAAGAAAAAAAAAGAAATGGAATCATATATGTGGATTTAAAAAAAATGCCCTATGGTGGTTTTGATTTTATAAAAAAAATTACTTTGGTGAATTTAGAGAATTGTGTCCTCATGTGAACATTTGTGCTTAGATAATAAAATGGGTTTCTTTGGGAACTCTAAAAGACTATATATAGTCTTGTGTACTAAGACTACTAATTTTAATAACTTTTGGTAAAATATTTTCTTCAAGAAAGCTTTGGAGTGAGCCATGTTTAGAGTGTGTGTGTGTGTGTGTGTGTGTTTTAAAGATTTATTTATTTGAGAGAGAGAGAGCATGTGCATGCATGCGAGCAGGGTGGGGGGAGAGGCAGAGAGAGAATCTCAGGTCAACTCAGCATGACCCTGAGATCATGACCTGAGCCTGTTATCAAGAGTTGGACGCTCAACTGACTGAGCCATCCAGGCACCCTGAGTCGTGTTTAGAGTTTAAAATTTTATTTATTTATTTATTTAAGATTTTATTTATTTATTTGAGAGAGAGAGAGCATGGGAAAGGGGAGTGTCAGAGGGAGAGGGAGAAGCAGACACCCCAGCGAATCAGGGAGCCCGATGCGGGACTTGATCCGGGACTCCAGCATCGTGACCTGAGCCGAAGGCAGTCGCTTAACCAACTGAGCCACCCAGGCATCCTAGAGTTTAAAATTTTAAAGAAATGCATTTTATCATGAAGAAGCAACTGAAAGAATAATTATTGTATGCTGATCCATGACAGGTAAAAAAAAATCATAGAATTGGTTTGAAGTGCATTTCAAGAGCATACAATAATATGTGCAATAAGTGTTTAACTTTTATTTAAATTATGAACCTAATTAAAAGTTAAAACTGAAAGTTGCTCAAATTTATGTTTTAACTTTTCATAATTTTTAAAATAGGAAACGCTTCAGAATCAAAAGGAAACATTAGCAAAGCAACACAGAGAAGCAATGGCAGCTTTTAAAAAGCAGGTAATTTCATAAGGATAGGCAAAAACTACAGTTTCAAATATTTCACCTCCCTCCTGTCCCCATATGAGTATTATGGCGTACTCACTGAAGACAAAAAGAGTATTAATGGAAGCAGGAGATAAAGTTATTTTGAATCACAACTGACATGTAGTAGAACGAGTTAGTTAAGGGGAGAAATTGGGAAAACTGTTTTCTTGGAGATGTATTTTCATCTGTCCTAAATAAATTAGGTTAGTGATGTGTGTGCTCTTGTTCTTTCTCTCCCTTTCCCCTTTATCCCTTGGATTAGAGTATCCTAGGGTCTTACCTTTTCTGCTGTCTTCCTTTACCCAAGCCAGAAGTAGAATGCTGATGAAAAGCTGAGGTGGAAGGAGGGAGATGTGAAGGATGAGATGTGATTATCATGCACTGAGCCCTTCATAAATACTATCAGCAACTAAGAGCAGAGAAAAACATATATATATATATATATATATATATATATATATATATATGATTTAAAAAAATGAATAGCAACTCCTTCAGTTAAATTTTGAGTTCTATAGCTCTTCTTTACTACCTCAAATTGCTCTTCAGTCCCTCATTAGAAAATATAAGTGTAAGAAATGTGCTCATGAAAAATATTCTCAAGAAATTTTTTTCTTATAGTCATTCCAGCATCGCCATTGTTTTCTTCCTTTTTCCTTCCCTCTTTTGTCTTTTTCTCCATACAAGTGTGTATGTTTAGAAAGAGAAATGCATAAAAAGAAATATACCTATATAAGGTAAATCACTAGTTGGTTGAGGTTATTTGTAGTTCACACTGTAGTGTGGATTTGTTTAAGCAGATGATAAACTTTCTTCCTTTTAGTCTGAGATTAGCCTCACCAAAGTTATGGGAGTTTTAAATGAAGACTAAGGAAGCAGAAGCCAAATATACCACATAGTATTCTCTAGGAGAGGGCAAGTCTAGGTCTCTTGTCACAAGGTACTTTCGGCAAAATAAGAATATCTGGGTATCTGAAGAGTAATGGAGAAAATGCTCTTGGGCTCTTTTTTTTTTTTCTTGTTTTTGTTTGTTTCTTTTCCTCCCTTCCCCTCCCCTCCCCACTCCTCTCCTCTTCCTGATTCTTGAATGTAAATGAGGGATGTGGAAAATGAGATGGAGAAGTTCCGAAGAAAAATTTTATTTCTTGGTAATTTTACCTAGTATTCTTGTGTTGCTTAGAATATTCTATTAGTTTTCTTTGGCATGTTGACCCTAGTTACTCTGTTTTAAAATATCAATATTTATTTATGAGACAGCTACATGCATCTTTTTGAAAAAGTTTCAGAAAATACTGTCAATGCTAATACAAATGATACTGATTTCATAAAAGTGTGCCTTCAGAAAACATTACATATTATTTAAGAGTAGATGACAAATATTGAAACATTGAAAAAAAACCCGTGGAAGGAAAAACTAAATTTTCAGGGACCATTGGTATCCCTAATCATGTGATTAAATTGTTCATTTCTTTTGGTGACTGGCTTTTTGCCACCTTCTATGCCTTTTATTATTTTATTTTCTCAGTGTAAAGGCGGCACATTCACATTGTATTACATGTAAAATATTTTTATAGTCTCACTGACCAGTGTAAATCACTGCTAACAGTTTACTTACCTGTATTTTAACTCTTAAAATTATTTATCAGTTGCAAATGAAGATGTGTGCCTTGGAAGAAGAAAAGGTATTTATTAATTTTTTAATAATTTAAAGCATAGTTAAGTGCATTTGATTATCAGTTGTTCACCACAATGAAAAGGAGTATTAGCAATAGATTAATGGAGACTGTTAATTGCTTAAAATCTTAGAAATTGAAAAGAGCCAAGGAAATCATGTTACCTCTGTCATTTTACAGTTGGTAGTACTGAAGCCTAGCAAGATTAAATGACTTGCTGAAGCTGAAGCTCTCATTCTGAAGTGGCGAAGTTGGGACTAGAACTCAGCTCTCTCTTCAGCCCCCAAATTAATGTTTTTTCTGTTCTACTGTAATGTTTTTATTAAGTATATTTTTAGTGCTTTTTCAATTACCTGTTTAAATAAACATTAAAATGATTTGCATCTGGATGTACACCAATTAGGAAAGAAGATACAACTCTGAACTAGAAATTCACCTAGCATTAAATATTTTCTCTAATTATTTGTTAATACATGTTTTTATTATGAATGAGCATACTATTTACAAAGGCCTTTTAAAAAATTCTCCCATATCTTTATAAGACAAATATACTTGTAACTTATTAATTAGAATATATTTATTCTAGCTGTGTGAATTAAATAATTATATAGTGTCCATAAATTCTCAGGAAGGCTCTCCTGATAAAATGATTATCATGCACTGAAGCCTCCATAAATATTTGTTATAATATTACACTGATAAAATGATTTGTTATAATTTTCATTTCATGATATTTATAATCTTATAAAGGCCTTATTGTAAGTTCATGATATTTTGAAGTCATTAGGAAGGTAAGTTGTGGTGCAGATCCAAGTTTAAAGATGTGAAGTGTTAGTTTTAAAGTAGAGGTTTTGGTTCTTGAGCTTTTGTATTTTCCCCATTAATAATATCATTTACATTGGAAAGTACTGAATTATAGTTTTTTCCTTAAAGGGAAAATATCAGCTTGCTACAGAAATAAAAGAAAAAGAAATAGAAGGATTGAAGGAAACATTAAAAGCATTACAGGTAAAGTAACTTAGTATTGCTTAAAAAAATAATTTGGTATTTTAGCATTGTATTACTAAAATGTCCACTAAACATGTAAGTTAGCCAAACAAAGCTGACAAAAATTCATATATCATATAACTTAGTAACTTTTTCCTGAAAGCCTCGAATTTCAAATTAGTAGGATTTTCCTCATCTTTTATTTTAAAAAGAAATCTTAAAATAGCTTCATTATTTCTTACTGTAATATAATTAAATAAATATGTTATTTTTAACACTTTGTAAATAAAAAAAACCAAGTCAGGCCTATGTATTAGAACTGATTACCTGTGGTCGTTAAAAGTGAAAATAGAATAGCATTAAGCAAGTCATGATTATTTGTTAAGTACTGTGCTTATTTTCTGCAAATACAGAGATGACAAAAACATCACATTTGCCTTTAGGTTGTTCGCAGTCTCGTATAGAATACAGAGGCATACAGCTAATGATGATTCGTTAAATATATTTATTGAGGTCTACAGTGTGCCAAGCACTGTTCTAACCACTGGAGATATAGCAATGAATAAAAAGAACAAAAATCTTTACTTTTATGGAGCTTCCATTCAAGGTGGGGGAAAACAAGCAATAAAATGAGATACAAAGTAAAATAAAGGTTGTTAGGAGAGAAATACATGATTTTGAAGTTATCACCCTATAGATAACAATAATTACAAAGACCAAAATATATTTTTACAATGGAAGAATCCTGACGGTCACTTAATCAGGTAATTCACATCATAGTGTGGATTTGTTTAAGCATCTGATAAACTTTCTTTAGTTGATTAAGGTAGTAAGAAGATTCCCTTTTCTTCATATCCTCACCAATCTTGTTATCTCTTGTCTTTTTGGTCATAGCCATTCTAAAAGGTGTAGGGTGATACCTCTTTGGGTTTGATTTGCATTTCCCTGATGATTAGTGATGTTGAATGCCTTTTCATATACCTGTTGGCCATTTGTATGTCTTTCTAGAAAAGTCTATTCTGGTCCTCAGCCCATTTTTATATTGGTTTTGTTTTGTTGCTATGGAGTGTACGAGCTTCTAATATATTTTGGATATTAACCCCAATCAGATACATGGTTTGCAAATGTTTCTCCCATTATAGGTTGCCTTTTCACTCCATTGATTATTTCCTTTGTTTGCAGAAGCTTTTTAGTTTTATGTAGTTCTAGTAGACTATTTTTGCTTTTATTGCCTGTGCTTTTAGTGTCCTATCCAAAAAATCACTGCTTGTGCTAATGTGAAGGAGCTTTTCCCCTGTGTTTTTTCTTCTGGTAGTTTTATGGTTTCAGGTCTTATGTTTAAGTCTTTAATTCATTTTGAGTTGATTTTTGTATATAGTATGAGATTTTGTATATGGTGTGAGATAAGGATCTGATTTGTCTTCTGCATGAGGGTATTCCAATTTTTCTAACACCCGTTATTGAGGATTATCTTTTCCCCATTGTGTATTCTTGGTACCCTTGTTAAAGATCAGTTAGCTGTAGTTGCATGGATTTCTGGTCTCTCTATTCTGATCCATTTAACCAGTATGTCTGTTTATACCAGTAACATACTGTTTTGATCACTGTAACTTTGAAATATATTTTGAAATCTGGAGGCCTGATGCCTCTAGCTTTGTTCATCTTGCTCAAGTTTGCTTTAGCTATTATTTTCTGATTTTAGGGGCTTTCGTGGTTCTGTATGAATTTTAGGATTTTTTTTTTGTTTCTGTAGAGATTAACATTGTGATTTTGATAGATTGCATTGAATTGGTAGATCACTTTGGATAATATGGACATTTTCACAATATCCTTCTATCCATGAACACAGGATGTCTTTCCACTTAATCTGTCTTTTAAAATTTCCTTAGAATTTTTTTTTTGTTCTTTTAAAAATGATTTCTATTTCTGTATTGAATTTATTTTTATACATGTATTTTCCTGATTTTGTTGCGTTTTCTATCTATAGGTTTTAAGTAAACTGTTTTTTCCTATTAATGACTTATTACATGATCCTGTGGTAAGACACTTTGTCTTCCTGAGCCTCAATTTTCCTTCAGGTGAAAGGAAGAAATTAAAAACATCAGAATTTCCCAAACAAACAAACAAACAAAAAAAGAATTTCCTAAACAAGATCATTTCATGAACCAGTAATGTATCTACATTACTCTGGATGTCAGGAGTAAGGAATTTGGGGAGAGGTCTTCATTCACCCACCCAGAAGCGGCATGAATAAGAGAGCATAGATGGAAGGTGGTAAAAGTTGGATTATGAGTAATGACCTGTCAGATTTTAAGCTCTGTAGTTTTATGATGTCATGTTATTTCACTAAATTTTAAACTTACTGAATTTATAAATTAAGATAGTAATTACTCCTACAGAACTGAGGGTGTATTTAATACATAATGTATTGTTTGTACCATTGAAACACAATTTTATTAGGCCTTACTTAGCCACAGTGACAAAGGGAATTAAATTGCTGTAGTGTGTACATTTATCCATGAGGAATTGTTAGACATTTGAATACTTCTATAGTTTAGAGAATCATAAACTTACAGAGATGTTGGAAATACAATATAAAGAACTTATTTTTTCCTGAATGATTTAAGAGTGGTATGCCAGTCTGATACTCTACTACCCCCAAAACTATAGTTTATCTTTCCTACAATCAAGGACATTCTCCTACCATCAAAATCAGTAAGTTAACATTGACACATAATTATAATCTAATTCTCATGCCCCAATAAGGTTTTACTAGTTATCTTAATAAGGTGTTTTATAGCCAAAAGATCCAGTTTGAAACCCTGTGTTGCATTTATTTGTCTTCTTTAATTTCTTTTATCTAGACTAGTTCCTCAATCTTTGAGTAATTTTTGTGACTTTGACACTCTTAAAGATTACATACAGTTATTTTGTAGAATGTCTCTCAATGTCTGTTTATAATGATGTTTCCTCATGATTAGAATTCGTTGTATATCTTTGGCAGTAATATTACAGAAGAAAGGTCTTGTTCTTATAATCAAATCCTATCAGATAGTTCATGATTTCATTTTCACTATTGGTGATGTTCAGTTTGATCATTTGTAAGGTAGTATCAGACAGATTTCTCCATTGTAAAGGTACTCTTTTCCCCTTTGTAATCAGTATTTTTTAAGGAGATACTTTGAAATTATGTAAATATTTCTCACCAAACTTTTACTATATTCGTTTATTTTTTTATATCAGTGTAGACTTACAGATTTTTTCAGTGGATTAAAATCTATGACTATCATTTATTTTGTTGCTCAAATTATCCTTGATTTGGCTAGTGGAAGTCCATAAAACTGATTACTGAGTCCTTTAGATATGTCTTCATTCTTTCAGCATTTTCCTGCTTTTAGATAAAAGCAAAATGTGCCAGAATCATTTTGTAATTTACTTGACCTTGCACTGGAATGAATCCCATGTTGCCCTGGTTCCTTTTAGTGGAAAATGGTATGTAGAAGCAAAGATCTGGGCACTATTGTACTAATTACTATTGATAAATCACTGCTCTCAGACTTTCTTGGTGGACAGAGATCTACGTATGTATTTATATACACACAAATATAATTTGTTTATTTATAATTTATAATGTTTATTTCCCTAACAACCTATGTATATCAAAAACCATGAATTCACATTACCTCCAATTTTAATACAAAACCACAAGGTTAATTTTAGTTTATTTCCTTTCTGTATTTATACATTTCTTTCCTCTTACAGTGAGAAATGCGCCATTCTTTATCCTTAATATATTTACTTCTTTGATAAACTACCCTGTATTCAACCAGTTTACCATTTTGCCATGGCTTCCTTCCTAATATAGATGCCCTCTTTTCCCTGCTTAGACTCTGACACCATGAACTGCGTTGCCCTTTTTCAGGGTTGCCCTCCTCACCTTACTCAGCTTCTTTTTAAATTTTATTTTAATTCCAGTATAGTTAACATACAGTGTTATATTAGTTTCGGGTGTACAACATGGTGATTCAGCAATTCCATACATCACTCAGTGCTCCCCTTAATCACCATACATGACAGATGCACCCCTTAATCACCATCACCTATTTCACTCATCCCCCCACCCACCTTCCCTCTGGTAACCATCAGTTTATTCTCTATAGTTAACAGTCTTTTTCGTGGTTTGCCTCTCTCTCTTTCTCTTTAAACTTTGCTTGTTTGTTTTGTTTCTTAAATTTCACATGCAAGTGAGATGATATGGTATTTGTCTTTCCCTGATTGAATTATTCTGCGTAGCATTGTACAGTCTAGCTCCAACTATGTCGTTGCAAATGACAAGATTTCATTCTTTTTTATAGCTGAATAATATTCCATTATATATATATACCACATCTTCTTTACCCATTCATCAGTCAATGGACACTTGGGCTGCTTCCATAGTTTGGCTATTGTAACATAGCTATAAACATTGGGGTGCATATATCCCTTTGAACTAGTGTTTTTGTATTTTTGGGGTAAATACCCAATAATGTGATTTCTAAATCATAGGGTAGTTCTCTTTTTAATTTTTGAGGAACCTCCATACTGTTTTCCATAGTGGCTGCACCAGTTTGTGTTCCCACCAACAGTGCATGAGTGTTCTCTTTTCTCCACACCCTCCCCAACACTTGTTGTTACTTGTGTTTTTGATTTTAGCTGTTTTCACAGGTGTGAGGTGATATCTCATTGTAGTTTTGATTGGCCTTTCCTTGATAATAGTGCTGTTGAGCATCTTTTCATGTGTCTGTTGGCCATCTGTATGACTTCTTTGGAGAAATGTCTTTCATGTCTTCTGCCCATATTTTAATTGGATTATTTGTTTTGGGGGTGTTGAGTTTTAGAAGTTCTTTTTTTTTTTTTTTAAGATTTTATTTATTTATTTGACAGAGACACAGCGAGAGAAGGAACACAAGCAGGGGGAGTGGGAGACGGAGAAGCAGGCTTCCTGCAGAGCAGGGAGCCCGATGCAGGGCTCTATTCCAGGACCCTGGGATCATGACCTGAGCTGAAGGCAGACGCTTAATGACTGAGCCACCCAGGTGCCCTAAAATTAAAAATTGTAATGGCCGTTCACTAAAAACATGTAAACAATAACAAGGTCTACAAAAGGGAAACTGATAGTTCCTTACTACAGTCCCAAATAATATAAAGCCAGTTAATAGAAAATTAATGGGAAAATAAGGTTTGCTGTAAAGAAATGTATTTTATAGTCAGCTTTTTATAAAATTTTTCATAAAGTGAGGGATAACTATAATAGGGAGACATTTGTACTTTATCTTTGAAATTGTCTTCTATACTTAATAAATTAATTAGTGTCAGTATAGTTTTGTTTCTGTATTGGAAAGATGCTTGTATCTTATACTATAATCCACTTCTATGTAATTTTAGAATGAAAAAAAGTCATTATATATAATAGCTTCCATAAAAAGATTTCATGTGAGTCTAGTTATATTACTTTCAAATTCTATTTCTGTTTCATAGGAATGTAACTATGTTGTAGCTTTTTAAGGTGGGAAATGCTCTAGAGATGTTGATAAAATGTAGCTGTGAATCATGATTCAGAAAGAATTAAATGCAGAGGTGTTAATGTGTGAAGAACAGTGACTTGAAAGAATTTTGTAAATTTGCTCTAGATGTATGAGTTTTACCTTTGGCAAATGGTAGCTATGTTAGTGAAGGTTCTTCAGTGAAACAGAATCAATAGTATATACATATAGGAAGAGATTTATTATGAGGGATTGGGTTACCCAACTATGGAAGCAGAGAAGTGCCACAATCTACTTTACTGATTCCACTGCCTCAGATGCTGATGTCACCCAGAAACACCCTCACAGACACACCCAGAAATGTTTAATCTGGGCACCTTTTGTTCCAGTCAAGTAGCCACATAAAATTAAATATTACATTAGCAAATAATAAATTCAGGATTAGAGTGAAAGTGTTCTGAAGTTTGTTTTCCTCTTTTTTTTTTTTTCTAGATGACTTCTACCCTTTTACTTTTCTTTTGTCTGTATGCTTCAAAAAATACTCTGATCTAGGGACGCCTGGGTGGCTCAGTCATTTAAGTGTCTGCCTTTGGCTCAGGTCATGATCCCAGGGTCCCGGGTTGAGCCCCACGTCAGGCTCCCTGCTCGGCGGGAAGCCTGCTTCTCCTTCTCCCCGTCCCCCTGCTTGTGTTCCTGCTCTTGCTGTCTCTCTCTGTCAAATAAATAATAAATAAATAAATAAACTTAAAAAAATACTCTGATCTCATACCATCTCATGTCTTTCAGTTGGGATCTATGTGCAAAGGACTTTCAAATATATATCTCCAGCCCCAAATCCCACCTGGATTGACATGAAATTTGATATATTCAAAACCATGAACATGATTTTTTTGTTTTAGAAAATATCTCCCTCCTGAAAACTTCTTTGTCTTTTCTTTCCTCATTAATTATGGTTCCCTTTTTTTCCTGTTGCAAATTTTTTCAGCATTCCCCTCAGAGTATATCCAGAATCTGACCACTTCTCACTATATGCATTATTGAAACTCTAGTCCTCTTCATTATCCTTTCATCTGGATTATGACAATAGCTTATTAAGTGGTTTTCCTGCTTCCACCTGTGTCCCCTGTTAGTGTCAACAGAGTGACCCTTTAAAAAAGCAAGTCAGGGTATGTTATACTTGTGCTTGGAACTTTTCAATGTCTTCCTGTCTCAGTCAGTGTAAAAACCTAAATCTATATCATGCATTGCAAGACCGACAATGAATTGCCCCCCTTGCCTCCTACTTTTCTCTGAACTCCTCTATTGCTGTTCTTCCCCTTGCTTGTTCCCTTGCAGCTATATTGGCTTTCTTGTTTTTCTTTTGTGTGTGTGTGTACACATTTAATTTTATTGTAACAGAGCAACTTGTACACTTTTAATGTTTAAAACTGAGCATCATCTTTCCTTTCCAGAGAAACAAGAAGAAATTTAAAAATAAACAGGAACAAAATTATGGTAGAGAATGTCAATTCCAAATAAGATCCTACAGGTTCTGCTCATTCTCCCATTGAGTGGCAGGACTCAAGTCATCATTAGGAGAGAATTTTATTTTAAAAGTGTCAACTTAAACTGCAGGGTGTCGTTAAACATCACAATTAAACATGCCAAAGGAGAAGACAATGTTGTCAAAATCCCCACTTAACCTACCTAACCATCTCAAACTTACCTTTTGCTGACGTTCTGTAACCCCATTTTTAAAGTTTTTTTCTTTTTTTTTTTTTAACAACAGAAAGTAGATACATGTTGGTAAGTGCTAACTGTCCATATTTACATAGAGACACAGTGTAATCTCTGAGCCCAATATACAGAGAAAGGAGGAAAAGTTAGAATTCTATGCACTACTACACAGGGCTAAGGGAGCAGAAGATTTTTCTTTTTTCCCACAGAGCACAGGGGTCTTGATTCCATAAAATTTTGTTGTGACAGGAAGGGATAAAAATGAATTTGGACGGAAGAAAGAGAAATTAAAGAGTCGATCCCATTTACAAATACACCCAAAACCATAAGATACCTAGGAATAAATCTAACCAAAGAGGCAAAGAATCTGTACTCAAAAAACTATAAAATACTCATGAAAGAAATTGAGGAAGACACAAAGAAGTGGAAAAATGTTCCATGCTCATGGATTGGAAGAACAAATATTGTGAAGATGTCAATGCTACCTAGAGCAGTCTACACATTCAAAACAATCCCTATCAAAATACCATCCACTTTTTTCAAAGAAATGGAACAAATAATCCTAAAATTTGTGTGGAACCAGAAAAGACCCCAAATAGCCAGAGGAATGTTGAAAAAGAAAAGCAAAGCTGGTGGCATCACAATTCTGGACTTCCAGCTCTATTACAAAGCTGTCATCATCAAGACAGTATGGTACTGGCACAAAAACAGAGACATAGATCAATGGAACAGAATAGAGAGCCCAGAAATGGACCCTCAACTCTACGGTCAACTAATCTTCGAGAAAGCAGGAAAGAATGTCCAATGGAAAAAGGACAGTCTGTTCAACAAATGGTGTTGGGAAAATTGGACAGCCACATGCAGAAGAATGAAACTGGACCATTTCCTTACACCACGCAGAGAAATAGACTCAAAATGGTTGTAAGACTTAAATGTGAGACAGGAGTCCATCAAAATCCTAGAGGAGAACACAGGCAGCAACCTCTTCGACCTCAGCTGCAGCAAGTTCTTCCTAGAAACATTGCTAAAGGCAAGGGAAGCAAGGGCAAAAATGAACTATTGGGACTTCATCAAGATAAAAAGCTTTTGCACACCAGAGGAAACAGTCAACAAAACCAAAAGACAACTGACAGAATGGGAGAAGATATTTGCAAATGACATATCAGATAAAGGGCTAGTATCCAAAATCTATAAAGAACTTATCAAACTCAACACCCAAAGAACAAATAATCCAATCAAGAAATGAGCAGAAGACATGAATAGACATTTTTCCAAAGAAGACATCCAAATGGCCAACAGACACATGAAAAAGTGCTCCACATCGCTCAGCATCAGGGAAATCCAAATCAAAACCTCAATGAGATACCACCTCACACCAGTCAGAATGGGTAAAATTAACAAGTCAGGAAACGACTGATGTTGGCAGGGATGTAGAGAAAGGGGAACCCTCCTACACTGTTGGTGGGAATGCAAGCTGGTGTAGCCACTCTGGAAAACAGTATGGAGGTTCCTCAAAAAGTTGAAAATAGAGCTACCATATGACCCAGCAATTGCACTACTGGGTATTTACCCCAAAGATACAAATGTAGTGATCTGAAGGGGTACGTGCACCCCGATGTTTATAGCAGCAATGTCCACAATAGCCTAACTATGGAAAGAGCCAAGATGTCCATCGACAGATGAATGGATAAAGAAGATGTGGTATATATATACAATGGAATATTATGCAGCCATCAAAAGGAATGAAATCTTGCCATTTGCAACGACGTGGATGGAACAGGAGGGTATTATGCTAAGTGAAATAAGTCAATCAGAGAAAGACATGTATCATATGACCTCACTGATATGAGGAATTCTTAATCTCAGGAAACAAACTGAGGGTTGCTGGAGTGGTGGGGGGTGGGAAGGATGGGGTGGCTGGGTGATAGACACTGGGGAGGTTATGTGCTCTGGTAAGCGCTGTGAATTGTGTAAGACTGTTGAATCACAGACCTGTACCTCTGAAACATAATACATTATATGTTAAAAAACAGAAGAAGATAGTAGGAAGGGAAAAATGAAGGGGGGTAAATCACAGGGGGAGATGAACCATGAGAGACTATGGACTCTGAGAAACAAACTGAGGGTTCTAGAGGGGAGGGGGGTGGGGGGATGGGTTAGCCTGGTGATGGGTATTAAAGAGGGCATGTATTGAATGGAGCACTGGGTGTTACACGCAAATAATGTATCATGGAACACTACATCAAAAGCTAATGATGTAATGTATGGTGATTATAACATAATAAAATTAAAAAAAGAATGATAAAAAAATGAATTTGGAATCGAAAGGGGGAGAGATTCTTTTCCCAGTGTATTCTGCTCAAGGTATTTCCCTCCAAAATAAGTTGAGAACCATGGTATAAAGAGAGAGAAGAGACTTCAAAAAACAGGGCAAATAAGCACAAGAGGAGGGGGGAGAAAGACTGCAGCTTGCTCCCAGGGACTAGAGAAAATTCAAAAAGGAAGGTTGGAATCCATCAGTGTTTCATTAGTCATCTTCTCCTTCATCATCTTTTTCTTCCCCCTCATCATCATCTTCATCTTCTTCACCTTCATCCTCATCTCCTTCATCAATATCTTCCAATCCTTCATCATCATTGTCTTCTCCTTCCCCTTCTTCATCATCCATATCAGGAACCAAATAGTACTGTAATGGATTTGGCCAAATATCATCTTCGATGACCTCTCCTAACTCATCTGCACCTTCATCAGAATGGTCAGTAAACCAGATGCACAAGCTCTCTGGTTTCTCAGGCTGTCTCTTCCTGCTGGCTTTATTCTGTGTTTGACTTGAACGTCTCATCAGATCCTTTCCAGATTTCAATTTGATTTCAGTGGACTTTGAAGATGGATCACCACTCTCATGCAGATGAAATTCTTTGGAGAGAACTTTATTTTCAAAGTAAGGGTTTTCATCAAAATAAAAATTTATTCTGTAACCTGATTTAGTATCTTCAAATTATGTCACTTTAACTCTTGTCAAATAATGCAGTGCCTCTTCATCTTCCTTCCAAACAGTACAGATACTTGTGGATCATTGACAAATGTTGTTAGCCCCAAATTTGGGATTTTGGCAATCAATTCCAATCTCTGAAAAAATCGTTGGTGGAGTTTGTTATATTTCTGTTCTACTTTCAAAATCTCCTCACTGGCTTGTTCATTAAGTCTGTCTATTTCATCTTGTACTTCATCAATATGTTCAATTGCTTCTTGCTGTTCTGTTTCTCCCTTCAGCAAGTGATGAGAGATCAATGTCACCTCTGGCTTGGGGGCAGGAGGTAGTCTCAGTTTCTTTGTTTGAGGCAGGATCAAAGACTGGTGTTTGGGGGTCATGCTGTGCAGAAAGCCCATGAAACAAGGGCAGACACATGTCTGCAAGAAGCTCCAGTTACTCTTTCTTGTTGTTCTACAAACACTCCAAATGTTGTCCTACCTTAGGGCCTTTGCAGTTGCTGAAATTGTCTTCCTCACTCCTATCAAGTCTTGACTCAAGAGATGCCATCTCGGAAAGGATTTTTTTGGGCATCTTACGTAATCTCCTTCCTTGATTTATTTTTCTTTAGTGCTTATCAATATTTAATAGATCATGTATTTAAACTTATTTTTATTGGTTATTTTCTACAATCAGAAAAGCAGAGTTTAATCTGGACAGGATTTTTTTTGGTTCAGTATTGTACCCCCATTGTGTATATTAATGCTTTACTTATAGTATGCATTCAGTATTTGTTGAAGAAATAAATCACCTATGACCTATTCCACAAAATGAAATAAAATTATCAGCTTATTCAAGGCAGAAGGCTAGATTGATTTCAGAATAGGAAATGTGAAGTAATTATTTTTGCTTAAAATTTAACAAATATAAACAGTTTAAGAAAATGAGCATTCATCCACAGCTGTTTGGAGTTTAACTTGGTCACCCATTCTAGAGGACTATGTAAGAATTGTTAAAAGTCTATGAAAAGGAACAAATACTAGGAATTCTGCTTCTTGGAATTTATTCTGCTAAAATGAGTAACTATAGTTCTTGGTACAAGCATGTTTATTTCACAATAGTGTCATAAAACTGCAAACTGGGTAAACCTACAAAAATGAGAGTGATTTGGTAAACTATGGTATTAAGTTAAACAGTGGAATACTATGTAATCATTAAAAAGTTGCATTGTAGATTAATTTGTCATAAAAAGGTGCTTGTCATATATTAAGTAAAAATGGGTCACAAAATAGTACATATATTATTATTCCCTCCCCACTGGATCTCTTTTAAAGTATAAATGCATAGAAAAATAACTGGAAGTATCAAAGTATTAATGATTGTTATTTCTGGGTTGTGAGATGGTTTGTTTAAAACTTTTTACCCTATGCTTTTTCATTTTATCAAATTTTCTTCAATGAAGAGCTGATACTAAGTAACAAACTCTCCTGGACTGCTCTTGCTATTCTGCTTGCTTTATTTTCCTTCGTAGTAGTTGTCACTCTCTAACCTTTGTACTTTTTACCTATATTTTATTGTCTGTCTACCAGTACCCCCACGAGACAGAAAGCTTCTAAAGGTCAGGGATTTGTTTAGTTCAGTGCTGTATCCCAGAGTCCTAAGGAAAGTGACTGGTATATAGTAGGTGCTCCATAAATATGTGTTGAATAATTAGTGAATATATTGTTTCTGTTATACAGAAGAAAGTTATGGTAAATAACATCTTGAAAAAAATGTCCCAAGGAAAAAATAGTGCATAGGAAATAAACACCACATTTTATAGCATACAATTTTAATATCAGGAGGATAACAGATAAGTGCAGAATTATAATGAATTTTCTCTTTGTTTTTTCAAGGTTTCTAAATATTCTTTACAGAAGAAAGTAAGTGAAATGGTAAGGAGATTACAAAATATACACCCGCTCCCCAGATTAGCACATAATGTTGTAGTGTCTTTGTCAATATAAATGTGGCATTTATATTAAAATAAGTTGAAACTGGGTATTAATATTCCCTTTAAAGGACTGAATTACAGTTTCAAGTATAGCTTAAATGAATTTACTTCACAAATTTATTTCTGGATTACATAGTGTTTACATATTACAAAATAAATTTAACCCAGTTCCCATTATTGGTAGAGGGCTTATTTTAATATCAAAGAACAAGGAAATAAGAACAACAAAACCTATTATTTTATTATCTTTTCTAGGTATTTATGCAAACATGTAGTTATTAATGATTGCCTGAAAATTTAAAATAATACAAAGTTGCATTTGAATATGACACTTGGGATATGTATGGTACTCATTCTTTGTCATTCAACAAGTGTTTGTTGTGCCTTCCTCTTCTATAGTATATTAAAAACTAATATTTACATTTTTATAGCATAATATGGAATATTTACTTTGATATTCTCTCTTCCTATCCCTATTTGATTCAGAAGGATTTTTTTCTCTATTTTTGATTGAGCACAATTCTCCCATATCCACTTAAATCTTCTGAGGGCCTTTTGGATGGACTTATGCTATTTCAGTCTTCCTTCTTTGGAGCAGACTGTAAGACAAGTAAAAGTAATTTTTGAGTGAAGTTTATATATTGTATGTATGAGAAGTAAGAAATGAGAGATCACTTCTCATTAAATACAGAAAAATAAAGTAACTGTTTTGCTTCGTGAAATTGTTTTTGATGTGTTAGAAAATAAAAGAGGCTTAGAAAGATTGCTAAGCTTGATTAAATAAAAGATGCGAAAATTCTGTTGCTGTTCAACTGGAAAGAATAAAGATAATATTGTCAGACTATTTTAAACTATGATTTTAATTAAGCTGAAAAACTAGATTCTGGTTTAGCTTTAAGTACCATGACATTTGTACTGAAAGTCATCTTCAACGCTACAGTGGTTTTACACAAAATATAGTGAAATTGAATAATGTGCCCTCTGACCTGGGAGATAAGGCTACAAGTTAAAGATCAAAGGCAACATAAAATGTGTTCTATTTTATTCCACTTTAAAATTTCATCAAACAGATACTTAGAGTCTTAGAAAAAATGAAAACAAGTTTTTAGTCATTTCTGAGTATTTTGTTAATGTGAATGACAACCTCTTAAAAACCTTCTAAAATGATATTTTATAGTGACAGTGTTTTTTCTGACAATTCAAAGCATTAAATTTGGCATTAAAATAATTGTATATATTGATATGTACAATTGATATTTTATATCCATTCTGACAGAATATTAAATGTGTTTTAGATAATTGATTTAAGTTTTAAAAATAATCTTTTTTCTAAACATTCTTACATTATTTCTATGTATTTCAAATGACCTTTATTCAAAGTACTATATTCAGTAATTAAGTTAATCTTATTTTATTAAAATCATTTTTCTTTTATGTAACTTAATTCTATGGGCAAGACAGGAAACAAAATGGTCACTGTGTCAAGGCAGGATTTTGGGAAGCAACTGATTAAGTTAAGTGTCCAAAAAGAAATAATTTTTAAAACAGTATTAAGAAAATTGTAAAGAAGTTCATGATCTCCTCTAGGTGAGCCCTTAATTACTAGTAAATTTCTGTGTTTTGGGAATTCAGTAAGCTGATTTTTGTGTGGAGGTGGTAATATGTCTCTAGATAAATTAACACAATTATGAATTGAAGGATTCACCTAGCTCTAAAAGTACCCTAACCTTCTATTGAACAAATGATCACATTGATCATTACCAATAGAAAGAATGCAAAAAAATAATAATAAAAATAAACTATAGAAGGGGCGCCTGGGTGGCTCAGTAGTTAAGCATCTGCCTTCGGCTCAGGTTATGATCTCAGGGTCCTGGGATCGAGCCCCGCATCGGGCTCCCTGCTCAGCGGGAAGCCTGCTTCTCCCTCTCCCACTCCCTCTGCTTGTGTTCCCTCTCTCGCTATATCTCTCTCTGTCAAATAAATAAATAAAATCTTTATTAAAAAAAAAACTATAGAACATCACATTAACTATTACTGTGATTTGGTGATTGATGAAAATCTTTCCTGTCGTGTTCTCATCATTACTGTATCAGGTGACTATGTTTTGTAATGAGTAGCTGATAAGACTTAATAAATGAAGTAAAAACATATCCAACCATTTCTTAGTTATGTTTTATGTTTTTGTATATCACTTTCCTCTAAAGCAAAGACTTACAGAAAGATTTATTTTTCTTTATTAAATTAAAGTTTGAATACTGAAGGTTTCATATGATTTAAAATTACCACATTTTTTCCTTTCATAGTAGATTGTTTTTAGAATGAAGACTTGTCTGGAAATAATCTTCATAATTATAAATATAATTTGTATCTGTACACACAAACTATTAGTGTAACTTTAAGTTAGTTTTTTAAGTATTATATACCTTATCTTTGTGACTAAAAAAGGTAAAAATATCTTAAGAAAGCTGCCATAGGTTTTTTAAAAAGTGAGTTTTATAACCCCATTGATTTATTTTGGGGTCATAGTGAAGAAATTGAAAGGTAAGTTGCAAAATAGATTTGAAGAATGTATGAAGTTTCTTGAGTTTTTATCTTTTTCTCTAAAATTTAATGAATTAATTATTTTAAGGGAAATTAATTTTATTCTCAAAGGTTTTCAAATTGGTCTCCATAAGGAAATAAGAAGGAAGTGAGCAGCTATACCTTTTATTAGTAAATGTAATTATAAAAAGTTGTGTGTAAATACTATTTTTCAATTATTCCTATTTTAAATGCCTCGAAGTTTTAATGTAATCTTTGAGACCACACACATGTACCTGTACACTTCACTCTTAATTATGCAGATACTGTCTTCTTTTCCTCTAATCTTGTTTTTCGTGGATTAAGTTTGTTAAAATTTAAGTTTGTATTTGGAAAGCAATGAATCCTAACATTTTCTGTGCATAAAGTTTTTGCATTTAGTAATAAAATTCTGTAAAAGAAGAAAATAGCTTGAACCAATTCACAGAGGTAAAAAGAACAAAAACAGTATGTCCTTAACTATTTCTTAGTCATCTTAATAAAGTTATCTTTACCATGATATAGTATGTAAGATTAAAGTTTTAATAATAACGCTGTAAAGTTATTTATATTATTCTTTAAAATGTTCTTGGCTTTCTCAGGCAAGTGATACCAATCTGTTTTTGTTGTTGCTTCCCAAAGAATTTAAGCTATTCGCTGACATGCGATTAGCAGCAAACCTGACAGCTGGCCTCTTCATTCTCATTATCAAAACTGAACAGAGCAGCCAAGTGGGTTCATATATGAACAGCCCCATATGGGCCTGTATGGGCTAATGAGCTATGTGTGCCCATGTAATTTGAAAGTCTTTATAATATCATGGCCATTGAATTGGTTAATGTATTTGAAAATCAGAATTATGTCATGCAAACAAATAAAACTTCATTTTAATTGAATACTTTGGCTTTAAGCAAAGGATGTTGGAATAATAGAGTATATCACAAATTATTCTAATGTGTATAGAGCTCTATGTATGTAGAGAAAACCAATTAAATCACTTTAATCTTTACTGCAGGTTTAGTTATCAGGATTATTAATCTTTACAGGCATTAACAGCCTATTTACCATTTTTTTAATGGGAGGTTAAAGAAGCCTATATTAATATGTAGTGGACAATATTCTCATAACACTACATAAAAATTGATCAAAGCTGAAAAATTGAAAAATTCCTTGACCACAATGAAACTAGAAGTCAACCACAAGAAAAAAATCTGGAGACCACAAATATATGGAGGTTAAATACCATGGTACTAAACAATGAATGGGTCAACCAGGAAATAAAAAAAGAAATAAAAAAGTACATGGGAACAAATGAAAATGAAAACACAACAGCGCAAAAGCTTTGGGTGCAGCAAAAGCACTTCTAATAGGGAAGTGTTTAGCAATATAGGACTACTAAGAAAAATCGCAAACAACCTAACCTTACACCTAAAGGAACTAGAAAAAGAACAATGACAAAACCTAAAACCAGCAGAATGAAGGAAAAAATAAAGATTAGAGCAGAAATAAATGATCTAGAAACTAAAAAAACATGGTAGAACAGATGAACGAAACCAGGAACTGGTTCTGTTGATACACCTCTAGCTAGACTTATCAGGAAAAAAAGAGAAAAGACTCAAATAAAATCACAAATGACAGAGGAGAAATAACCAATACCACAGAAATACAAACAATTAGAATATTATGGAAAACTATATGCCAACAAATTGTACAACCTAGAAGAAATGGATAAATTCCTAGAAACATATAACCTACCAAAACTAAAGCAGGAAGAAATAGAAATTTGAACAGAGTGATCACCAGCAAAGAAATTGAATAAGTAATAAAAAAACTCCCAAGAAACTAAAGTCCAGCACCAACTGGCTTCACAGGCAAATTCTACCAAACTTTTAAGGAAGAGTTAATAGCTATTCTTCTCACACTATTCCAAAAAATAGAAAAGGAAGGAGAACTTCCAAATTCTTTCTATGAGGCCAGCATTATCCTGATGCCAAAACTGGATAAAGACACCACTAAAAAAGAGAACGACTGGCCAGTATCCCTGATGAACATAGATGCAAAATATCCTCGGTAAGTTACTAGCAAACCAAAGTCAACAATACATTAAAAAAATCATTTGCCACGATCAAGTGGGATTTATTCCAGGGATACAAGGGTGGTTCAATATTTGCAAATCAATCAACATGATACATCACATCAATAAGAAAGAATAAGGACCATATGATCACTTCAATAGATGCAGAAAAAGCATTTTACAAAGTACAATATCCATTCATGATAAAAAACGCTCTTAACAAAGTAGGTTTAAAGGAAACATACCTCAACATAATAAAAGTCTTATATGAAAAACCCACAGCTAACATCATCCTCAATGGGGAAAAATTGAGAGCTTTTCCCCTGAGGTCAGGAACTAGACAAGGATGTTCACTCTCACCACTTTTATTCAACATAGTACTGGAAGTACTAGCCACAGCAATTAGACAACAAAACGAAATAAAAGGCATCCAAAACGGTAAGGAAGAAGTAAAACTTTCACTATTTGCAGATGACATGATACTCTATAATGAAAACCTGAAAGACTCAGCCAAGAACTACTAGAACTGATAAACTAATTCAGTAAAATCATAGGATACAAAATCAATGTACAGGAATCTGTTGAATTTCTACACACCAATAATGAAATAGCAGAAAGAGAAATTAAGAAAGCAATCCCATTTACAATTGCACAAAAAGTAATAAGATGCCTAGGAACAAACCTAACCAAAAAGGTTGAAGACCTATACTCTGAAAACTATAGAACACAGAATGGAATTGAAGATGACACAAAGAAATAGACACGTCCTGTTCATGGATTGAAAGAACAAATATTATTAAAATGTCTGTGCTACCCAAAGCAATCTACACGTTTAATACGATCCCTATCAAAATACCAACAGCATTTTTCACAGAGCTAGAACCAACAATTCTAAAATCTGTATGGAACCACAAAAGACCATGAATAGCCAAAGCAATTTTGAAAAAGAAAAGCAAATTGCTGGAGGCATCACAATTCTGAACTTCAAGTTATATTACAAAGCTGTAGTAATGAAAGCAGTGTGGTACTGGCATAAAAATAGACACACAGATCAGTGGAACAGAATAGAAAACCCAGAAATAAACCCATGGCTATGTCAATCTTCAACAAAGCAGGAAAGAATATCCAACTGTTGGCAATCTCTTCAACAAATGGTGTTGGGAAAACCGGACCACTTTCTTGCACCATATACAAAGATAAACTTAAAATGGATTAAAGACCTAAATGTGAGACCTGAAACCATAAAAATCCTAGAAGAGACCACAGGCAGTAATGTCTCTGACATCAGCTGTAGCAATATTTTTCTAGATACGTCCTCCAAGGTAAGGGAAATAAACGCAAAAATAAACTATTGAGACTACATCAAAATAAAAAACTTCCGCACAGCAAAGGAAACAACAAAACTAAAAGACAATCTATGGAATAAGAGAAGATATTTGCAAATGGCATATCCAATAAAGGGTTAGTTTCTAAAATATATAAAGAACTTATAAAACTCAACACCCCCCAAACAAATAATCCAATTAAAAAATGGGCAGAAAACATGAAAGACATTTCTCCAAAGAAGTCATACAGGTGGCCAATAGGCACATGAAAAGATGCTCAACATCACTCATCATCAGGAAATGCCAATCAAAACTACAATGAGATAGCGCCTCACACCTGTTAGAATGGCTAAAATCAAAAACACAAGAAACAACAAGGGTTGGGGAGGATGTGGAAAAAAGAGAACACTCATGGACTGTTGATGAGGATGCAAACTGGTACAGCCACTGTGGAAAACAGTATAGAGTTTCCTCAAAAATTAAAAAGAACTGTATGATCCAGCAATCACACTATTGGGTATTTACCCCCAAAATACAAAAACATTAATTCAAAGGGATACATGCACCCCTGTGTTTATAGCAGCATTATTTACAGTAGTCAAGCTATGGAAGCAGCCCGTGTCCATCAATAGATGAATGGATAAAGAAGATGTGTGAGATATAAAAGTATTCCACATAATATGGAATATTATTCAACTATAAAAAAGAATGAAATCTTGCCATTTGCAATGACATGGATGGAGCTAGAAGGTATAATGCTAAGCAAAATAAGTCAGTCAGAGAAAGACAAATACTGTGTCATCTCACTCATGTGGTATTTAAGAAAACAAATGAGTAAAGTTAAAAAAGAGACAAACCAAGAAACAGACTTTTAAATGTAGAGAACTGATGGTTACCAGAGGGAAGGTGGGTGGGGGGATGAGTGAAATAGGTGATGAGGATTAAGGAGTGTACTTGTCATGATGAGCATCAGATGATGTGTGGAATTGTTGAATCACTATATTGTACACCTTAAACTAATATTAGACTGTATGTTAGCTAACTGAAATTAAAATAAAAACTTAAAAAAAATTCCTTGGATTGGGGTGCCTGCGTGGCTCAGTTGTTAAGTGTCTGCCTTCGGCTCAGGTCATGATCCCAGGGTCCTGCTCAGCGGGGGGCCTGCTTCTCCCTCTCCCACTCACCCTGCTTGTGTTTCCTCTCTCTGTGTCTCTCTCTGTCTAATAAATAAAATCTTTAAAAAAAATTCCTTGGATTGAAGTAATGCCTTTAGACTAATTTTAGTGAAATTGTGTTAGGTTTTTGCGCATCTGCTGAAAGCAAGTATAATTCTCTAGATTAAAGAATTAAGTAGTATTGTAGAGGAATGGAATATGGTTCATCATTTTTCATTGTTTAGTTATTGAAAATAGTGACTACCCAGGTAGGCATAAGATCTTCAGGGTAAGTACACTTGTCAGCTTGTTTGTGTTTATAACTTACATGATTAATTCAAATGACTGAGTAGTGAATTTGAAAAGCCCATAGAAGTATATGGGAAACTTTCAATTCATCCATCGTGATCATTACTAACGATATTATCACTTCGCTTAAAATCATTAAAAACTCTCTTTGAAAAAGTTAAGACTATTGGGGCGCCTGGGTGGCTCAGTCATTAAGCATCTGCCTTCGGCTTAGGTCATGATCCCAGCATCCTGGGATCGCGTGTTGGGCTCCTTGCCCAGTGGGAAGCCTGCTTCTCCCTCTTCTACTCCCCCTGCTTGTGTTCCTCTCTCGCTGTCTCTCTGTCAAATAAATAAATAAAATCTTTTAAAAAAAAGAAAAAGGAAAAGTTAAGACTATTATCAAATTTGCCAAGAGAATATAGTTAGGTACAATTTAAGTTGTAATGTGTATTCTTTATTAATATTAGGGCTATTCTTACTCTAAATAAAATTAGTTAAAACTACTGAAGGTACTTTTATCACTTAAGGAATAATAAAACATATTGTGCTTATTCTGTGGCAGGCATCTGTTCTTTGTGTTTTATATGTATTAATTCATTTTATCCTCAGAGCAACCCTATAAGGGAGATACTTTTAGAATCTTTGTTTTAAAGATAGGGTGGATAATTTTCCCAAGGTCACACCGTAACTAAATTACAAAGGGAGTATGTAAACACAGGCAGATTCGTTTTTGACTACTTTGCTATACTGCCTGTACTTTGGTTTTAAGCAGTAGGAACTGGCTCTGTTTAATTTATGCAAAAGGAAATTTAGTGGAGGCACTCAGAATCAATTTGAGTGAAGAATGGGTTTGAGAATGAACAGAGACCAGGGTAATTCCAGAGTTTGTGAAGCAGGTTGAAGGAACCCAGGACAGAAGTCTCATCAGTCTGGATAGGATCACTATTGAACTTATTTCGTTTCATAGTCATTTTGCTCAAGTTTCAAATTCCAAAAAGGTAGAAATCAGTTGGTTTACTTTGAGTAATATGTCCTTCACTTGACTAGGGGAGAATAGAGCATGTGAATTTCAATTCTTCTAGATTGTAATGAGGAAAAAATGCTAAAAGTAAATACTTGAAATTGTGATAATACTGGATAAGGGAAACAGATACAGGCCAGGTAAATCTAACAAATTTACACTGTTGCAACTCCACAGAAAAACAATTCATTCAGAAAACAATTACTGAGTACCAGCCGATAGACTCACACTGTTCTTTATCAATCACTGATAGACGCACACTGTTCTTTATCACTGCTCATCATGGGTGCTGAAGCATGTGGCAAAAATGAATGAAAGTTGTGAAACCAATCAGTGATTCTACCAATGCCAAGTCAAGGTCAAAACCTTTAAAAAAATGTTATTGATTTTATTAACATAAGATTTCTTTTTAAAATTGAAAGTCACATTTCTAAGTATGACAAAACAAGTTGTTTTAGCCAAAAGCAGTGAAAGCCCATATTAAAATATACTTTGGGTCCAATTTTTACCAATTATGTTTCTCAGCCTAAGTAGACTTTCTACTATACTGTATTGCCTCCCTGTCTCTGATAGATATTATCCTCATAATTCAATTTTTAATGCAATGAGAAGGGGCTATACTCATTAAAATCAGACAAATTACTTGAGTTTCAATACTGCACTCGTAATTGCACCCCCAAATTTAGAGAAAAGAATTCCTTTCCTAAATTATCAAGAGTATTGCTTTAATAGTCTTGTGATTTTGCTTAGTGCTGGCTTGGACTAATTAACGTTTCTATAAATGAAACTAGTTGATTTTTTAAAAAAGATTTTATTTATTTATTTGCCAGAGAGAGAGAGAGACAGAGCATGAGAGTACAAGCAGGGGGAGCGGCAGGCAGAGGGAGAAGCAGGCTCCCCACTGAGCAAAGAGCCCAATGCGATGAGGACTCTATCCTGACCTGAGCTGAAGGCAGATGCTTAACTGACTGAGCCACCCAGGAGCCTCTGAAACTAGTTGGTTTTTGAAAAAGAAATTCTAAATAAGGGCAGTATAAGTTTAAATGACTATTTTGTTACAAGACAAAAAAGGCTTTAATTTTACATAGGTTTAGAAGTATCTCCTTAACATTTCCTCCCTATGGTGTACTCAGCACTTTTTCATGGCCTATTTTGTAACAAAAGTTATTAAAAACAATTTTTATGTATGTTTAAATATATGTGTGCATATATGTTGTATATATGTGTTTTATATATTTATAACATTTTAAATAACTTCAAAATAGGAACAAAAAGTCCAGTTACATCTTCTGGCTAAAGAAGATCATCAGAAGCAACTGAATGAAATTGAGAAATATTATGGCACGATAACAGGTCAATTTGGACTGGTAAAAGAGAATCATGAAAAGTTAGAACAAAATGGTAGGTACTATCTTATTTAAACTTATATATTTAATAGGGAGTGATTAAGTGAGCTTATTTATAATAAATTGAACTTATCTGCTACTGGTAATATTAAATGGCATTTTAATATTTAAATTCAATAATCATTACATACATTGCGTTGAGGCTCTTTTCCCTGTCCATTTTAATGATACTTTCCTTAAATTGATGTTGAATATAATATTTTTCTAAATGTTTTTCACGTTGCAGTACAGGAAGCAATACAGCTAAACAAAAGACTTTCAGCTTTAAATAAAAAACAAGAATCTGAAATATGCAGTTTAAAGAAGGTATGATTGATACAGTTTTATAGTATTAGGTAAAATTATAGTCTAATTAGTTTTATGAAATAGTATTGGAAAAAGTTGGGTAGATATTTTTTGGTATAAAGACAAATACGTTTTAAATACAGATTCACAAACTGTGAGTTATGATTCCAATAAATGTAATGAATGAATTTGTTCTAACCCATTCAAAATATTCTGTCACCAGTGGCATGCCTTTTTATGGTGACATGAATAGCTGATATTTATGTATGTCAATCTCAGCACCATTTATTCATTCATTCATTTTTTTTTTTTTAAGATTTTATTTATTTGACAGAGAGAGACACAGCGAGAGAGGGAACACAAGCAGGGGGAGTGGGAGAGGGAGAAGCAGGCTTCCCGCTGAGCAGGGAGCCCGACGCGGGGCTTGATCCCAGGACCCTGGGATCATTACCTGATCCGAAGGCAGACGCTTAATGACTGAGCCACCCAGGTGCCCCTATTCATTCGTTCTTCATTCATTCAATACTTGAATGACTGTATGTGTCAGGTACTATGTGGCACTAAGGATACAGGTCTGAAGAAAATAAAACATTTTCCTGCTTTTTTGAAGTTTATAGTCCAATGGAGGAGTTAGACACAAAATACACAATCACACAGACCAAATAATTTAAAACTGTTGTAAATGATATGAAGAAAAAGGTTGTGATGACATTATAATAGGTGAATTTATTACATTGGAGGTAAAGGGATAGGGAGGGAAGAGAATAATGTTTCAGACAATAGAGATGTCCCCATACTGGACCCCCAAAACAGCAAGAAGATAAGTTACTGGAACCCAGAAAGGGAGCATCACATAGAGTAGGTAATACTCTGGCAAGGAGAACAGCATGTGCAAAAGGTAGGAAAGAATTTTAGTAATCACTTCTCAGACTTTTGGCTAAGATTAAGTGTAGGCGGGAGTTTGGTATATGTGAGGGACTGGAGAAAGTCTGGTATGGCTGGAGCATCATGAGTGAAGGACTACATTGGACATTGAGATCTAGATTGGCAGAAGGCCATAAACATTTTATTCCTCATGTCACAGTCATTGGCTCAGAAGTAGAAAAATGGCCTTAGTGGTTATAAACCCGAAAGAATATAACCCCCACCGTGGTTGTCAGTCATTTACAAAAATTACACCCCAAACCTCAACAAGTCATTTTGGCAATACATATTTCGGATTCAATAAATAAATGAATATGGATGATAGTGTTCATATATATCATAACTTTTGAGGAAAATTTAAATTTGGGATCAATGTTTTCATCTTGGTTTTAAATGAAGCCTGCTTTTAAAAGGGAAGAAAAAACACTCCAAGCATTTACAGCTATATGTATACGTTGAATTTCACTGTTTTTGTTTTATTTAAATTAATAAACTTTATTTTTTAGAGCATTTTTAGCTTTGCAGCAAAATTGGATGGCAAGTATAGAGCGTTCCTATGTACTACCTAACCCACACATGTGCAGTCTCTCCCACTGCCAACATCCTGCACCACCTTGACACATCAGTATCCTCCAAATTCCATTGTTTACATTATGGTTCACTCTTGGTTTTGTACTTTATCTGAGTTTGGGCAAATGTTTGGTGACATGTGTCTGCCATTATAATATCATACAAAATAGTCTTACTGCTCTGAAAATCCTCTGTGCTCTGCCTTTTCATCTGTCCCTTCCCCCCAACCCTTGGAAACTACTTCTCTTTCTACTATTTCCACAGTTTTGGAACATTTTCCAAAAGGTTACAGAGTTGGAATCATATAGAATGTAGCCTTTTCAGATGGGCTTTTTCAGTAATATGCATTAAGCTTTGTCTAATGTCTTTTCATGGCTTGGTAGCTTTTTTCTTTTTTTTTTTAAGTACTGAATAATATTCCATTGCCTGGATGTACCACAAACTATCCATTCTACTGAAGGACATTTTGGTTGCTTGCAAGTTTTGGCAGTTATGAATAAAGCTACTATAAATATCTATGTACAAGGTTTTGTGTGCACATAAATTTTCAGCTTTTTTGGATAAATACCAAGGAGCATGATTGTTTTGATTGTATGGTAAGAGTATGTTTCATTTTGTAGAAACTGCCAAACTGCTTTCCAAAGTGGCTGTATCATTTTGCATGCCCACCAGCCATGAATGAGAGTTCTTGTTGCTCGATATCCTCACCAGCATTTGGGGTTGTCAGTGTTTTGGATTTTGCACATTCGTAATAGGTGTGTATGGTATCTGTTGTTGTGATTTGTAGTTCCCTAATGACATATGAAGTTGAACACCCTTTCATATGTTTACTTGCGATCTGTTTATCTTCTTTGGTGAGGTGTCTGTTCAGATCTCTTATCCATTTTTTAATTGGGTTATTTGTTTTCTTACTGTTGACTTTTAAGAGTTCTATGTATAATTTGGATAACAGTATCTTTATCGGATAGAGCTTTTAAAAATATTTTCTCCCAGTCTGTGATTTGACTTCTCATTCTCTTGATACTGTCTTTTGCAGAGCAGAAGTTTTTAATTTTAATGAAGTGCAAATTATCAAATTTTTGTGTGTGTGCATTATAACTTTGGCATTGTACCTAAAAGGTCATTGCCTTACACAGGGTCAGCTAGATTTTCTCCTGTATTATCTTCTGGAGTTTTATAGTTTTGTATTTTACATTTAGGTCTGTGATCCATTTGAGTTAATTTTTATGAAGAGTCTAAGGTCTTGGTCTAGATCCCCCCCTGCTTTTTTTGCATGTGAATGTCCAGTTGTCCCATCACCATTTGTTGAAAACATTAGTTTTGTTCCTCTGTCAAATATCAGTTGACTATATTTATGTGGGTCTGTTTCTCGGCTCTCATTTCTGTTCCATTGCTCTGATTGTCCATTCTTTCACCAATACCACACTGACTTGATTACTGTAGTTTTATAATAAGTGCTAAAGTTGGGTAGTATCAGTCCTCCAACTTTGTTCTTCTCCTTCAATATTAAGTTAGGTATTCTGGGCCTTTTCCCTCTCCATAGAATTAGTTTGCTAATATCCACAAAATAACTTGCTGAGATTTTGATTGGGATTGTAATGAATCTATAGATCAAGTTGGGAAAAACTGACATCTTGAAGATATTGGGTCTTCCTATTCATGAATACGGAATATCTCTCCATTTGTTTAGTTCTTTGATATCTTTCATTAGAATTTTATACTTCTTCTGATGTAGATCTTATATATAGGTTGTTAGATTTTTTTACCTAAGCATTTAATTTTTGCTTAAAAATTACAGCAAAAATTAAAAGTATGAGATCATAGAAAATATCTGCCCCCATTTTCTATCACTTGTAATTTCCTAAGTGATAAAAGCACTAAGAATATCTCTTGGTCTAATATCTGGTCTTTCACCCTGGCCCTGACGCTGGGCTCCTAAAACCCTTATAAATTCCTAAGTGATAAGAGCACTAGGAGCATCTTTTGTTTTAATAATGTGACTCTGGGTGGGGTCCTGGATGGCTCCTGGATGGGGGTTGGTCACCAGAAAGAGCAAGTCATGATTAAAAGCTTAACATTTTTAGCCCTGCTTCTCCCCTACCTCCCTCTACTCCACAGGAAAAGGGCCTGGAAATGGAGTTAATAATTGATCATGCCTACATGAGGAAGTCTCCATAAAATCCCAATGGTATCATTTCAGAGGGAGGGTTGATACACTCCACCAGGACAGAATCCCCTGTGCTCAGGATCCTCCCAGATATTGCCCTTTGTATATCTTCATCAGGCTGTTGATCTGTATCCTTTACTGTATCTGTTAAAAAACTAATAAACTTGTGTTTTGCAGAGTTCTGTGAGCTGTTCTGGCAAATTAATGGAACCTAAGAGGGGGATCATAGGAACCTCTATTTATAGCCGATCAGTCAGAAACATCTGGACTTGTGATTGGCATCTGAAGTGGGATGGGAGCAGTCTTATGGGACTGAGCCCTTAACCTTTGGGATTTGGTCCTGCCTTCAAGTAGATAGTGTCAGAAGTGAGTTAAATTGTGGGGACATTCAACTGGAGTTGCAGAGAATTGCTTGGTGGGGGGAAAACCTCCACATATTTGGTGACCAGAAGTGTCAGAAGTGTTCTGTGTAAAGGAGACACACAGGGAAAAAAACACAGGAGGAAGAACTGGATTTTTCCTTATACAAGAGGGAAGAACTGTAGGTTTTTCTAGTACAGAAAGTGATTGACTTTTGTATATTAATAGTATATTCTACAACCTTGTTATAATCACTTATTAGTTCCAGGAGGTCTTTGTTGATTTTTTTAGATTTTCTACATAGTCAATCATGTCATCTGTGAACAAAGCCAGTTTTATTTCTTCCTTCCCAAACCTGTATATCTTTTTGTTTTGTTTTGTTTTATTTCCTATTCTTGTCTTGTTACATTAGCTAGGGCTTCCAGTATGGTATTGAAAATTTGGTGAGAGGGGACATCCTTGGCTTGTTCCTGATTTTAGAGGGAAATTGTGAAGTTTCTCACCATTAAGTTTGATGTTAGCTGTATGTTTTCTTTCTAGATGCTCTTTATCAAGCTGAGGAAGTTTCTCTCTATTCCTAGTTTGCTAAGAATTTTTATCATAAATAGGTGTTGGATTTTGTCAAATGCTTTTTCTGCATCTTTTGATATGATTGTGTGATTTTTTTTTTTTTTTTTTTTTTGCCTGTTGATGTAATGGATTACATTAATTTTTGAATGTTGAACCAGCCTTGCATAAGTGGGATAAATCCCATTTGGTCATGGTGTATAATTATTTTTATACATTGTTAGATTCGATTTGCTGTTATTTTGTTGAGGATTTTTGTATCTACACTCATGAAAAATACTGGTCTGTAGTTTTCTTGTAATGTCTTTGTCTTGTTTTGCTATTAGGATAATGTTGGCCTTATAGAATGAATTCAAAGTATTCCCTCTGCATCTGTCTTCTGAAAGAGATTATACAGAATTGGTATCATTTCTTTTAATGTTTCATAGAATTC